GGCGGTCCTTTTGTTAAATAAGTCACTTTCCCTGTGTTTTACAGGCAAATACCAAAGATAGAAATGTCAAAAGCTCGGTCGGCTATAGACCCTGGTTTTTGACTTTTTTGCATTTCTATCTAGTCTGCCGTCATTATAACTATATAACTAACTAACTAACTAACCAACCAACCAACCAACCAACCAACCAACCAACCAACCAACTAACCAACTAACCAACTAACCAACCAACCAACTAACCGCAACTAACCAACTAACCGGCTTACAGACTAACTATATAACCCCAACCAACTCCCAAGAGCGTCCAGCGTTCCCTACAGCTGGTTACTGTTGTCCAGTCCAATCCCTGCACCTTCGAGGTTCAAAGCTGCAGGGCTACCTCAAACCAGCGGTGGTTCGGACACCGACGCATTGAAAAGCTCTTAGCAACAGGAAAATGCCCAAGAAAGTGATGACATGCCAAAGGATGCCAACGGTAGAATAGATTTAGATATATACCAGTCCCGTTTCGAGCAGGTTGGACGCGTCCAAAGTTGGTAGGTCAACATGAGCCATGCAAGAAGGATTCAACAAGAAGAACCTTGCTTCTGCAAAGATTCTCTTGATGGCCTAAAGCCTGTCATAGCCTGGCTTCCAAAGATGGCATGCTCCTTCAAGACTTATGGCCATGCCAGAGCCCCTGCAATATAAAGCTTTCCAATGACAAAGTGATACAAAGTGGTGATGATTGGAAGGCCAAGGTAACAGGAAGAAGTGGATTCGATGAGAACGCATGGAAGAGGACAGCTCAGCTCAAGAAGACCATCAGCGATGGTGAGGCAAAGCTAGCCATCGCTGAGGACAAACCCAGCCATTCATCCACCCGGGTTCGGCAGGAAGATTCTGTTGCTTGGATCCTTCAGCAATCATTAAAGGCGTCGACCCCTTTCCTTTCATGAAAAGTGGACACCGTCAACATCCATCGCAACCCTGAAATGCATCAATCCATTGTTTGTCCAGCATGTGCTTGCACTTGCATGCACGTGTGAGTGACGGTGTTTGGGATGGTCAACCTGGCCAGAGATCTACAGAGATCTCCAATTCTTAAAGGCCGCGAACTCAGTGTCAGAAGTGACTTCAATGGACTCAAGTTTGGGCCAATGATAGGCCACTTGCAGAAGCACTGGCCTCAACGAAGTTCACTGATGGTCTAGTGTACCAAAGAGCCGCAATTCTTGAAAGCATGATGAATCGGCCAAACTGTTTGCCAGCCTTGAAACGCGCTCTCAGAACTATGGGCTTCGTTGCTTGGGATCTCAACAAGGACAAGTTCGTCTGGGCCAGCTTCGCCATCAATTGCACCCTTGTCAGAGCAGCTGTAAAGACAACAGCTTCTCATCATTGCCCAGCAGCGGGCCGCCAACAACAATTCTCACCCAAGTTGTTCTGCGAGTAACCTCATCTGAAGTCTGCCTGTCCTTGATCTGCTGCTTAAGCTTGCTACCTGTGATCCATGGTGCATCGAGATCAATGATTTCAACATTGACCTGCAGTATCAGTACTCACTACTGAAAGTCTCTTCGATGCGGCCACCTTGCAATCACTACAACCAGCTATTCTATGTCGCTGATCTTATCTTGATATCTGTAAAGTGTGCTTTGCATATGGCTTCGATGCACAAGTCGCCCACACTTGTTTGGACAAGTGGTGCTTCTGGGAGAAAGCTAGCAAAACAACCAATCAATGGAAGTCATGTCCATCTATTTCGGGACCACCATAACCATGTCCACCAAACATTCCATGAAGGTTAGCCTTTTCACACACACCCTCACAACAGCTGGCCGGATGAACGAAAATGGCACTGGGTTCACGGAAGGGTTTCGTTCAACAATTCATAGGCAACAAATGGCAACAAATTCACGGACAGCCTTTCAGGAGCTCAGCACCACACTCGTTGGGCTTCGGGCCTTGGCAACGGCGACGCAACAGAACGATCCGGGAGGTCGGACAAGCTGCTTCTGATATGTGTGTGTGCGTGTGATTCTTCCATCTCAAGTTCTTCTTATTTTTATATTTATCATATCCAATTGCCAAATTTCATGTGTGTGTGTGTGTGTGTTTTTGTGTCTTGCTTCTGAACGAGCACCACCACCAGCACCATCACGACCACCACCCCTCTGAAGCTCCTTGCTGACTCTGGCTCAAAGGGTTTGGGCTGATGACCAAAGCCTGTCGCAGCTGGTTGCCACTTGCTACTGTTGGACCCTTTCATGTCAACTCCAGGGCAGCTGGGGGGTCCATGAACAAAGCGCTTCTGGGTTCCAGTGGTTCGATGCCAGGCTTCACCAAAGAAGGCTGCATCTTGAAAGAGCTTTGAGTGAGAGGTGCTCGGAATGTTGAAAGAGTGACTTTAGGATCAGTGTCCAAACACCACAGATTCTCACCATGTCCATTGCTTCCAAACTTTCCCTGCAATCAGAGCTAGAGGGAAAAAACTATGCTTTTGCTGCACTAGATCATGTCAGCAAACACATGCCAACACTCTGCAAGTGTTAGACAATCCTGCGACTCGGGTCAGCAACAATGCACATGTTTCACATGTTGAGACCATGCACAATCTATATATATATACTTACAACAGCATCAAGTTGACATGGCATTGAGTTGCCAGTTGTGTTTACACACCGAACACCAGCAAAACCGGTGCACAGAGACGCCCTCTGCACACTACAAATGGATATGATATATCATGAATCCGGCGACCAGACTTGCGTTTTCTTCCGGTTCGTAACAGAGTAACGCTGAAGGTGGTGATGTAAAATCAGTTTCATCCGTGGAGCAAATCGTCAAACGGCGGTATTTCGTCCCTCGTCCACTGAGGATCTGACCCATGAAGCCTTGGATCGCAGGTTCAACATCTCATCACCGAATAGGTTTCAGTAGGGCAGTAGTGCTCCACAATGCTCAATTTCACTATATTTCTATTGGAATGTGGGGCCAAGCAGGGAAGAAAGAACATGGGACAGCAGCTTTGCTCTGTTCTGCTGGGCCAAACCATGCTCCGTGCGCCATGAGGACCCAACGATGGAATCGATCATAGGCGGAGCGGAAGACCTTGTACCTGCGTTGAAGTTGAGGCTCCAGGTCCACACGACCAAAATTATGCGGAAAACTCCTTGGATTAGGTTGGAGGCCATCGCTACTAGTAACAAGAAGCTACTAGTAACACGGAAAACTCCTTAGATCTCAGCTAATTATGACCCAGGCGGCGCAAAACCAAAATCAGGAGTTTGGACCTTTCCACAACAACCAGGGTCGCTGTGACTGTCAGCGCACTCCTTCACCAAAACAGGGAATTGTCCTGGGGACGGTGGATCAAGACACAGAGAACAAAAAACCTCCTGCCCAGGAGTAGAACAACGCTAGAACTGGGCATAAATCAGGAATGTGTGATCAGTTGACTTACCTGCAAGACCTTTACGCAGCGGTAGCAGAACATGCAATGGATAAACCCGCGCCAGGAAATAACATATATATATATATTATATCCATCAATCAAAGCTCCGCCTGTCCTTTTCACAGCTAGGTTCAGAAGCCGAGAAGCCAACACCCTAACATGCCATAACATGCCATATGTGAGTAACATCCACCATACGAAAACCGCATTGAACCTTCCTGGAACCCCTACCACATGACACTGGTGTAGCTGATCCCTATCCAAATCAGTATGTGTTTTTACCTCTTGACCTCTTGTGACATCGCTTTGCTCCAAGAGGCCGATGGAACCGATCAAGGAACCGATGAGGGCGATCACCGGTAGAGCCAAGGAGGCCTTGTGAATGGGAAGAAACCGAGTGAAGCTTGAGAAGATCTTAGAAGGGAAAAAAAAACGCGGACAGTCTTTGGATCGCTTCTTTGGAGCGGCTGAACCGAAACAGCCAACATTTGCTGGTCATGGTGTTGAGCTCAAGAAGATTCGTCTTGTCGCATGAAAGACTCGAAAAGTCACGGAACTGCTCCGCGTCAGATCTGTTCATGGGGTGACCAATAGTGGACCAAGACCATTAGTTACTAGAGTTGCCAAAGGAATTAATGTCGGAGACAACTATGTGCGGCTGAGACATCCATGGCATTCCATTTCTCATACACGATCCGAGGAGGTAAAACTGTGAAGCAGTCTGTGAAGCATGCACCGCCCAAAAAGTACTCCATGTCACACTGGGAAGCATGCTTTCAACTGCTCGTGGGTGGTGTGGACATAGAAACCTCAGCAGGCTCACATGCACCAATCTCCAGTCACGTTAATCTCTAAATGCTGTGGGTGGTTCCATCGCTGGTAGTATTGCTGGTCACCTCTTGGTGAGCCGAGCCGAGTGTGACCAAGGTGACCAAAGTGGAGAGGCCGTAGTCCAAGGCAGCAGGCATCTTTTGCAGCCACAGCCTACCCCATCGCGGCGTAGGCGGCGAGCCCCAAGCTGAGTGCTCAGCGTCTCTGCTTGTTCAAAACAATCCCCACATGTCCTACTTTCTTGCAGGCATTTGTCAGTTCTGCACGGTGGCAAAGATGGTGCGGCCTCAAGGATGTTCCAACAACACCTGCAAATTTCACATCACTACCGGCCGCACCAGAGCAAGAGAACTCTGAGAGAGAACCATTTCCCGAGCCTGATCCAGGCCATGCGTAACTCCTGGATGTGCTCGGGTGCTGCACTATGCAGTCTACCAAGCTTCTATGATGGAGCTTTCATGAAACTAAACATACACAAACCGTCTGGATGCCCAAGGATCCCAAAGTCTTGAAGAAGTCTGTGCCAAAACAAAATTACTAGCTTCAACAACTGTGTCAGACCTCACCACCTCACTCCTGAGAAGGAAGTCTTAGCACCACTTGGAAGCAAGTCTTGGCAAACCTTGCAGTAAATAGGCCAAGAATCTATCCTGAGACCTTGGAGACCACCGAAACCCGTGTTCTCAACGCGTCTTGCTCCGCCTCCGCCCGTGCGCGGGAGATCACCCGCTCATAGGATGAGGTCCAAGCCTATACGCGAAAAGACGTTGGCCGTTCGAATGAGGAAAAAGATTGGAAATGATCTTAGGAGGACCATCAATCTTGATCTTGAGAGGTCCATGAATGCTTTCCCAGCTTCATAAATGAGGCCATGAATGAAAGGACAACCATGGAGCACGTTTTCTATATAGTATGATGCAGAAGGTCTCGGGGTCCCTCAAACTTCATGTTGGATCACTCCCCCTCCTTGGCTTGAGGAGGAGACATGCCCTGACAGATCGAAATCCAATGTGTACAACACTTAGCTCGGACCCTGAAAACAACCAGCATTCAATATGCATACATTGGTTCACAAAGTGCTGCACCCGGTCACTGGATTCTAGTATAGATCGCGAGCCGACATCTATATATACCATTTCTAGGTCTAGACTGTTCCTTCTATCAATCCAACAGTTATAACAGGGCCATAAACTGACTGGCGAAGCGCTCCACCCCTGCTTGAGGGTCCGGCCAGCATCCGTAGGGTTCGGATATTCCTTGGTCAGTTTTTTTCGATGAAACGCTTCAGTGTTTTGGTTGAGAGATGGATCTCCAGAAAACTGATTGTACTCTGGGAGTTCCCAGCTTTGTCGGAAGCTTGCAGCACCTGCGGGTTTTACAAAAAACATCCTTGTGACCTCCAGTTCGTCTTTTGGATAGTACAGTCCTCGTCGTTTTCTCGTGAGTTTCATAATTCAACTTGAGGCACCTCTCCTACACTTCTCTGGCTTTGACAGAACCAGCAATGGGGAAAGCAAACACAGCACATAAGCAACAAGCAAACGAGTTTCTTTACATCAATTTGTTTACAGTATACTATATATAATACGATCTAATAACTACTGTGAAATGTATTGAAGGATTGGTTTGTTCCTGTTGTTTCTACAATGCCCACGTAAGCAAGCTCGCGTGCCTACACGGCCTACACGACGCCAAGGATCGTAAAGCCTTCGCTGCACCGGCCCAAGCGCTCGTCCTCACTTCCGCCGAATCATTTCTTGCTTGGCTGAGGTCGTGTAGTTGAGTCATGTTGAATCATGTTGAAACATGTTAAATCAAATACAATGGATTGCTATGGCCTCTTGTTATCTCTTGTTCCTTAGGGTCATGGCCAATGGCCCTGTGCATGCCGATTAAAAGAAGTACTTCTCTCACCACTTCTTGAGAGAAAGAGACGTTGGGTGGCTCAAGAGAGACACATCTGAGACAGTGAAACGTGTCCAAATGATCCCAAATGAGCCATCTGCCTTTCATCTGCCACCTGGTGGCCACCGGGTGGCAGACCAAACAGCTGCAACCGGGCGAGCAAGCCCAACCGTAGTCCTTGGCAAAATAGAGCCGGTCTCGGTACACGCCATCGGCATAGCCCCTCAGAGTGCCGATTGGATGTCAACGGAACTGTGCGATGGAATGGGATGGTCCTGAGTCCTGACAGAGACCTCTTCTTGCCCTTCTTCGGTTCTAGATTCTAGATAGTGGAGGCTTCCGTGACGAGAGGGAGAGTGGATTGTCAGCTATCTCTTTCAAGCCCCTGTGTTACCCAGTGGATCCGTTTCAAAGAAGCGAAAGTTGTCCTGTTAGACCGTATGTCCGGCAAGTTCTGTGCTGTGGCAGTTGCTGAGAGCAGGGCATGATGAGATTGAAGGTCTTGCAAATGATGATTGTCAACAGTCCTGGGACCACAGCTAAGGCCTCAGTTCGATCGGGTCGAATCCCAGATTCTTGGAAACAAATATATAGATGAAGTTGAGGCCAAAAACACCAACCAACATGTTGTCATGGCAACGTGTCGCGCCAAAACCGGTGTCAACGTTGAGTTTGGGAGAGCATCTTTCTTTGAACGTCACCTGTGAAGCTTTTCCTGCCACCTGGAACCTGAGCAGGATCGTCCCATCAGTACGACCCTTTTTCACTACAGCAACCATCGAGGAGTCCGCTGCGCATATGCATCGTAGCCTTAGCATGATGAGAGGGAAGCCAATATCAAGATGCCACCCAACATGCCAGTCTGTTCAAGGTGGAGTTACTTGGAAGCCCTAAAGATTTACCTATCGGTTGTCACGTGTCCCCTCTACCCCAAAGTGCCGAAGGATCAACAGGATAGATGCTAGCCATCACATACTTGGGAGGAGAGACCACTCCTTATGTATGGGATGACACACACACAGAGAGAGAGAGAGAGGAAACTTTGTGGAGGAGCAAATGCCCAGACAGAAACATGACAGATGAATAATCCAAAATCATCTACGACCATCCACAACTTATATAGTCTCTGTATGTCTCTGTGTCTGCTGGCTTGGATTGGAGGGTCCTTATAATATTTGTTGGAGAAGGCTAGCCCTACGCGAGTTGTCTTCCTAGTAGTCTCAGGAGGGTCGTTTGGAACTTTGCAGCTCATAGGCTCCACAGGAGTCTAAGAGCCTCTTTCTTGCGAAGTGCTTGGGTCAGATACTAGCTCACTAGCACAGGCCTCTAATACATGTCTCATCATGTCTCCATGTCCATGTCAAAGTTCAAGCTCCATCATGTTCCATCCACCAACCCTCACCACTTGCTGTCTACAATGGGAAACAGACAGACAGACAGACAGACAGCTCTAAGTTTCCAGCCAAGAACCAAAGCATTTGTTTCGGGGATGCGATCAAACTGCCATGCCAAAGCACCCTTGAATCTCGCACGCAAATAGGCTTCTTCGCCTGGAATGATGCAGAACTGCAGGTAGGCTGCAAACGGCAGCAGCGCTAGAAGACCCCACCAAGTGTTTGCCATCAGCCCCACGGAGCCTGATGCGTAAAGAGCGGCTGAAAGAAGGGGTTGAAGGTATCCACCAAGTGGAAGGTATCAAAAGTATTCAAAAGTATCAATGTAAAGGACTGCCGCAGGTGCCTTCTGGTGAGCATCATTGCAAGAGTCCTCTGATTTACTGAGTCCTCTGATGTCCTCTGCCTCATTCTGTCGCCCTAAGCTGGCACAGCTCCACTATGCTCCGCATGATCCCCACACACCTCCTGAGTTTGCTCTTGCGAAGCCAAGCCGCTGATGTTTCCAAGCATGCTCAGGTACATGGGATTCCTTGACCATTCAAACCTGGGCTCAATGGATGTGGATGGAGCACAAACCCCAGGGATGCTCTTTTCAGCTTTCAGTGGGTTCCATATGGTTCCATTCAAAAACTTTAAGGAACCTAATAGCGATTGCCTCCGACCTACTAGCGATGGCCTCCAACCTAATAGCGATGGCCACCAACCTGCTAGCGATGGCCTCCAACCGAATAGCGATGGCCTCAACCCTAGTAGCCATGGGCTCCATATGGTTCCATTAACATCTTGTTGTCCTGGAGTCCTGCCCATGTCTTTTGCTGGGGCGATTAAAGTGTACCTCGCAACCTCGGGTCCGCCCTGTCAAATGTTGTCGCCGTGTAAGCAAGTTCGGGTCATGTCCATATGTAGGTCCAAAACCCTAGGGGCAAAGACGCTACTAGGAGCAAAGGGCATCGCTCCTAGGACTACTAGGATCAAGGACTCTACTAAGGGCCCCTGGCCTTACTACTAGGAACAAGAAGCTGCTGGGAGCTTCTATCACTGTCTCCCTGGTGAACATTCAAGAGCGGAATGGTCACTGCGTCTGACACCTTGCTACGGTGCCTGCCGAAACAACACGTGTTGGTCTAAAATGTCAAACGGATTCAAACGGTGCATAACAAGGGCATCGGTATGACAAGGGTCTCAGCGCCCCCGGTTTCGGTTTTCAAAGTTTCGGATGCTTCTCGCCGTATTCGTGTACCGTATATTGTTTGCCCTACATGGGGATTGTCCCTACACGCGGACTCCACAAGAAATCCCGTAGTGCTTCGGTAAATGCTTCCTCATTGCAATAAATAACAAACATGACGTCGTTATGCCAGGCTGTGCCTGCGGCCTGCATCAGAATGGGCGCGATGTATGGGGAGAAAGACATGGTGGGGGTAGCCACAAATCTGGGTCTCTGCAATCAGTATATTGTAGCGCTATCTGGACGGCATGGTCGAGATGGAGAATGAACCTCAAACAGAAAAACAGTATATAGAAATGGAATCTCCACTCAGTCTCATTAGATCTGATTTGGGTTTCAGTTGAAAGCGCCCAACTGGTACATGTCTTCCGTTTCCCATGTTCTCCGAACATCGCCCGTGTGGTGCACCCCACATGTTCTCAGTAAGCGACGGCCCATCCATCACCAAGACCTGTGAGGCCTGCCGGTGGCTCAGTGGAGTGCCCTGCGCCCGGAAGCGGTCCACGGCACACGTCCTGATGCCGTGAGATGCGATGGGTGAAGGGCGAAGGCACTTGTTACTACGTTCGCTTCTTGTTACTACTAGTAAGGCACCTGTTACTACTAGCGTGGCACTTGTTTCTACTAGCTTCTTGTTACTTGAAAGGTGTGTTTGCTGCGTAGCTTGCTTTAGGCAGACTCTATAAGCCAAAGTCAACTGTACAGCAGCTTGCTGCGCAAGTGCAAGCCTTTCAGAAAGGTGGAGAAGGTCAAAAAGAATCAAAAAAACATACGAAATGAATCAATGTGATGTAGGGGCAACCCACTGACTCAATAGCTGCCAAAACGATAAGTTATATACCTATCCCCAGTGAAACATCAAACCTTTTGTTGTGACATCTTGCAGATCATACACCAACCCGACCGCTCTTCTCCTCAGTGAGACACTGGAGGCCATCAGCGCCGCACCCAGGAGCTGCACCGGCCAAGCTCGCTTCGCGCGGATGGTGAGAGCCCAGGCCTGGATGGGCTCTCAGGATCTTGGGGTCTCTGGTCTAACGAAACGAAACTTGCAAAAGGTGTACATGAATGTGAAAACTATGTGAAAATACTGTTTGTGACTATGTGTGCATTTGCAGTGGTTGTGCTGCAAATGCTCGCATGTCTGCCCAAAGCCACAGGGACAGTTGGCTTGGAGGTTGTACGCGAGTCTTCGTTTTACATTGGTAGATTTCCAGCTCAAATGACTTTTGTCAAGAAGGTCTGTGGACAAGATCGCCTCGCCCAGTTGCTCTTTGGCAAAGTACCAGCAGCCCATACCCCCCGCGATGCATAAAAGGTCCAGCTGCGCCACCTGCGGAAAGCAGGAATCGGGCCAACAGAGGCGTCTGTCACCGTATAAAATTAAAACAGGCTTAAGCCCATGACTTACTTGATCAACCTCTATTCATGCCTACAGTATGTAAGCAGTGGTAGGTGTGCGTGCATAAATATTGAAGAGCACCATTTTTGGCCAAATGATTTGGACTCACATTGTCGGGACAAAGAAGATACTGCGTGGAGTCATAGATGCCTGTCCAGGCTGACTCTTGCGCAGCATATGGAGTGAGATGCTATTCAAGTGAAAGAAGCATTTCTAATACCTGTTGTTCCTCTACATTGCATATTCTTCTCTAATGATACATCAAATATGACATATATGTGATTCAAAGCAAGGCTTCTTCAACCTACCAACGTCATATGGGCATCCAAGTGCTGCAAGGGCACTGGCTCCGGTTGACTTGGGATGTCTTCCATAGCAGGGGAAGTAGTGAGTGTTTGTACAGATTTTCATAATTCGTTCCAAGTTTGGGGCACCGTTGCCATCCGTCTCATGCATTGGCATTGAAAGCAATCTTTCTGCACTCCTGCACATCCGTTATATTCTTGTCATCAATGCACTGCTGCCCGATGCTCTCTTCAATAGCAATCGCTCAAAATGCCTGCGGTGCCTGTGCTTGATGTGACACTTCAGTCGTTTGCTGAGAACTTTTTGCCACTTTGTCTTGCTATATCATACTGGTACCTTGTTGACTGCCTGATGAGCCAACCAAGCTAAATCGTGCAAGCAGGAAACAAATACAGAGACAAGCCACTACCACTTTGGCAAGTCAATTTGTGCTCTGGCAGAAAACTCAGGTGCACCGCCTTTCAATCAAATTTGGATGTGTGGCTTCACTGCTCCACTGCTTCGGGAGAATAACCATTAATCATTACTCCATGTGCCCGGGCCACTTGAGCGAAGAGCGCAGTGAAAGCTGCCACAAGTTGGATGGGCAAACTCCAAATCTCGGCGCGGTGGCCACGGCGCCGATTGCGCACGGGATTGCGCGGGTGCCTTTTTGAGATGCCTTTCGTCAGGGAACACCGGTTGTTCCTGTCTGTGTTCATTTGTTGTCATGAGATGAACCAAGTGCAACAGGACAACTGTAAGGCTCCAGCATCGAGGATCACCCAGACCATGTTGACGCTGTCACCTTGGTGGAATCTAGCAAGGTCTGTTGAAGCTCATGGAAGTCGCAATGCAGGGCATCTGAAAGACACATCATCCCCCGCACCTGCCGTGCCGCTGAGGCAATGACCAACGTCGAAGGAGATCACGTTATAAATGGCACTCTCCCCATGAGTGTTCCCCTGTCGCGAGAGGCATTACACACTATTACACACACCACCTTCCACTCTTGAAAGTCGCCTGGTTTGCATGCCTGTCAACCCCCAGTGGTCCAGGTTTCTTCCTGCACTTGACAGTATCGCACCAGAAATTGAATTACTTTGCACTGAGAACCTAAGAAACCATGACCGATGACTGATCCCGAAATCCAAACAGAGCGGCAGGCCCTGAGAGTGCAGTTTTTTGCTATTTTTCATTTGTTCTTAGGCCTAGATTTTATTACAGAAACTGCACTCCCAGGGTGGCAGCAGGCAAGGCAAAGCAATATTTGGATCTAGAGTGGTACCAAAAACATTGAAAAACACAAGAAACAATTTATATGTTCAGACTCTCTGGAGGGGGTGGGTTCCCAGCCAAGATTTTCTGAATATTCTTTGTGGCAGCAGGCAAGGCAAGGCAATATTTGGATCTAGGGGGTGCCAAAAACATTAAAAAACAAAAAACAAAGAAACCAAAAAAACAAAAAAAACAATATTTTCAGACTCTCTGGAGGGGGTGGGTTCCCAGCCAAGACTCTCTGAATATTGTGTTTTTTTGTGTTTTTTTGTTTCTTTGTTTTTTTTGGTTTTCCCAAGGTTTTGTTGGCTTTTCCTAGGTTGTTATTGGTTTTCTCAAGGTTTCTTGTTTTTTGGTTTTCCTATTGAGGTCAATCTGTCTTCTTACTATTTCGTTCAACCTTCAAGTATGTGAGCCTAAGTCTCACCTAAAGGCATATGTTCTTTGCTCTTACAATGAAAGCGTCTGAGCCCACCACTCCCTTTGTCCTTGTCGAAATCTCCATGTACAAGTCTGTGCATTAACTTCTGATTGGTATCAATGTGGTTGCCAATTGCATGTCCAATCAGCTTGACATGAAACTGTAATGATACCTTCCAATTTACATGAAATTGTTATGAATCTGTGTAAGCTGTAGTTCTAATTCAATGCTTGTTGCTTTTGCTTCGGCTTTGTAATATCGAAGCCTCCTCGACTTGTGCATCTTGTAGCTCAAGCGTTTTACATCTTATTCTGGCGAACTTCTAATGTTAATTCCAATTCCTTTCTAATTCAACTCTCATCTAATTTTAAATGGGTTATAGTTATAGTAGTTCAATACAAGTTTAGTTGAAATTCGGTTTTAATTCAGTTCTATCTTAGCTTTAACTCAAATCCAATTTAATATACCTAATTCTATTCTAGCTCTAGTCTATTTAGTTTAAGAAAACACATGCTACAAAACCCCGTGTTTTACAGTATTTTTTTGCCCTGGGAGTGCTGGGAACAAAACTAAAACTATTTTTTGAAGTAAATAGTTAGATTTTGTGTATTTACAGTAATCACTGGAAATAATATAGACATATTAAACTTGTTTTATGCACAAGCTTCTAATTCAAGAGCTTCCCTCTAGATCTCTGTGGATGATCATTTCTACAATAAAAAAATGTAAAAAAGCTTTCATAAGCTTTCCTCTGGATCTCTGGAAATGATCACGTCAATTTAAACATGCAATATATCAATAAATATTGTATTCTTTCAAGAGCTTTCATTTCATGAAAACACACATATATGGGATATCTACTTTCCCAAAGATCCAGAGGAAAACTTTGAAAATGCAAGCTCTTACCCGGAGAAATCTAGAATAAAGCTTTTAGCATACAAGGTTTCTATATAGTTGTTTAAATCTAAAAATTATTATTTGCAGAGATCTATAGAGAATCTTGTGTAACATAAACGCGTCTATATAAAAATCTTACCAAATCTAAACATAATTATAAGCAGAGATCTAGAGACACTTTTATGGTCTGCTTCTTTCCTAATTATGTTGTTCAAAACCATCTGAATGACTGCTTGCTGCTTCCAAAACAATAAAATGACCCTGATTCAGGAATACATAATATATTTGTTCATATGAAGAGAGCAGGAACATATTATATATATATATGATTATATATGTGTTTATAGGGCCAGACTCAAAGGCAACTGGACACTATATAGATGCTGATAAGCCACAAAACTATACATGTCAAATGACTTAATGGAATTCTAAAAATAGCAAAAAAGTGCACTCTCACAGCCTGCCACTCTCCAGAACGGCGGTTCCCAAAACCCCATGATTCCACGTGAGTTGGAGGTCCAACAGCCTAGCAGCTTTTACCTCTCGCTTGGCTCCAAATCGCTTTGGCCTGTTCACTGGCATCGCCAGGCGTTTGTGTGAGGCCCTGGACCTCGGAACGCGGAGAACTTGGCCACCTGCCCTTTACGTAAACAGATATGTATATATATATATATAGTTATATATATATATTTATTTATATGTGTTAAATGTTGAACTCCTCCAAAAAAAGAAGAACCCGCCCAAGTGTTCAACTGGGACGAAACCAAGTCTTTCTAGAGAACCTTTCGCCTGGTCCAATGAGTTGGACTTCTCAGGTGGAGCTTCCATTTCGCTCACCTCTTCCCTTTCACGGTTCGCAATTGAATTGGGGGCAATTCAGATCAGAGAGATGAACCATCGTGAGTTAATGCCCAAAGTCTCGTCCAAGTGACTCCTCTGAAGAGCAGGGCTCCCTTCAAGGAGCTTTCGATCCGAATGTTGAGCCGCGCCTTGCAAGCTAACTACAGTAATGGCTGAATAGCTCTTTCCAATCTAACGCAATGGCCTCCACCTAAGAGCGATGGCCTCCAACCTAATAATTGGACCTAGTAGCGATTAGGTTGAATTCAATGAATCTCCCGCACGCTAAACAAGGAAAACAACCAACACTTGAGATACACAAAAGCACCACCCCGGTGGTGGTCACTGGGCTTCGCCCCTTGCCAAACAATTGCCCTTCCTTGACCGGTCCATGCCCGTCCCCGCCTTCCAAAGATCCACTTGGGCGTTGTAAAACCTCAGCTCCAAACGTTGTCACGTCATGAGTGGTTTCTAAAGCAAAGCGACGAATCGATTGATGATGTCCGATCATCGATTCTGTGATGTGAATTTACAGTCACGAGCTAATGTCACTTACAACGCTCACTGCTGTGGCTTGTCATGACGGCCATAGGCGTTCTCAACTTCCATAGGAGCACAAGCACAGCGGATCGGTTTAAGCTTCGACTTGTCCTGGGTCCCGCTGCGCTAATCATTAAAGCTGGGCCATGCCTTCTTTCATTCCGAGAATTAGCCTGTTTGGACTTCAGTAACATTTACTGCCAAGACACAGATTGAACAAGCCCAAACCTCAGCGATGCTTACAAGAAGAATGTTTGGTACGACAGTATCTCAACACGACCTGGGGCCTATTCGGACATGTCTTTCACACGAACTGACATGAACAACGTGAGATGAACTACCTGATTCAAAATCCAGGGCGGCCTGAAGGGTCAAACCGGGCACCCAGCAAATCAAAGCACCTACTGCGATGAAACCACTCCTGGCAGCCTCGGAGCGGATGCGTTGAGAAATTCCGTTTTCGTATCTTCGAAACCACCAAGCAATCAATCTCCTGGTGGTGTCTGACAGTCCTATGGCCAAATCTTGCATGGGCTGACCGTATTTACCGGACACTAAGGCAGGGCACCGTACAGTCCATCCATGTGTAGGGGGTCAGTGATCGGATGATCGAATTCACTGTCCTTCAAACAGGACCAAATGTGTTGGTGATCCAGGCTTGTGCCCAAGTTTCTGTCTTAAGCAAGTGCGATACCCCCAGGGAAAACAAACATGATAGTCCACTGGTGGATGGTCCACCAGGATGGGGCATTCTCGAACACCGGGGAGTGACCCGTCGCCTCGGCCGAGAGGGCCGTGTTGGTCCCCTCCGTCTTGGCCTCCTGGGCCTGGCGTGTTGGGTCGGTCATCCACAGGGGTCCACCAGGTGTTGATCTTCTGTGTAGATCTAAAAAGAACTAAGTCGAGTTAATTATGAGTTGATAGTTTCAGGGTCTTCTGCAGGGTCTTTTCTTCGGTTCGTGATAGCTGCGATAGCCGGCGTCTGTATCGTCTGTGTGATAAGGGTGTGAACGTTCACATCACTTGGCTCTGTCAAATGGAATTTTAAGGTGGAGCCCCTGACACTGAAAAGGTGTCAAACAGTGCCGCAACACTTCAAGTGTCACCGTATGTCACCATGGTGTCGTGCAATCAAAAGATGGGGCCTTGCTGACACCGTACATGATTGAGTTTGGATGATTAGCTCTCATGGATTCATACAATGTTGATCAAAGTTGAATCAATCCTGTACAACGGTGACAGCGAAAGCTGAAGCGGCAGTACTTACAATGGCAAAGGTTCGCCTCCTGGAAGATAAGCAAGCGCTGCAGGATGAATGGAGAAAGGAGGCCTCGGAGAACGGACGTTGAAACATGATATGCAGTTGATGCAAACCAAGCACGGAATAGCTGGACTTGGGACTTTGATCTGCAGTTGCTCTGAACATGCTGATGTGCTGACAGGAGACTCCATGAAACTCTGCTCCTTTTTCATCTAACACCGTGGAGCTGCTGCAAGGTGAAACAGCGGCTGGGAATCAACCAAAGAATGCCACTGATTGCTGATAGTTGCTTTTGAGGAATGCCGTGTGGGAATGAACAGGAAGCGCCATGTTTTGGCCGCAAGACAGACGCTCCTCCCACAATTTGCCTCTGTATGAGCTGATTCTTGGAACTCACTGAAGCGTTCATAAGTGCGAAAGCCCTTTTCTAGTATGGTCCGGGTCTCTTGCCTTTGCCCTTCATCATGGCACCCTTCATGGCCATCATAGCCCAAAGCTCGCTCATAGGATCCCAGCCCCAGTCTCCCCAAGAGTCTCCCTTGAAGCTCTCTTTGCCTTTGCCCGTCTTGCCCTCTTTGCCTTTGCCTTTTCCTTCCCAGCCCTTCTCGCCCCACTCCCACCCACCTCCGCCACCGCTTCCACTGCCTCCCTTGCCAAAATCGCCCTTCGAAAACCCACCGTCCTTGCCACCGAAGCCATCACCAGAACTGAAAAAGCCTTTCCCTGGGCCTTTCATGCCCTTCCCACCTTCTGCCTCCCGATCCTTGGCATAGGTGATTGTCAAAGGGCCTGGATATCCCTCAGGCTGGAAGCCATCCAAGTTCTCGATGCACCACTTGGCCTCAAACTCGGGCATTCGCACAAAACCTCCAATTGTCGTTTTGCCAGGTTTGGGTGGAAGCACCTTGCTCTGGTACACCTCTCCGTACTGGACGAAGAACTGTTTCAAGGATTCCTCGGTGGAACCAATGGGCAACCCGGCAATGTACAACTGGATATTCGGAGGCCTCGACTCCCCGGACTTTCCGCCACCTCCACATCCACCACCTCCTCCTCCTCCTCCGCCGCCACATCCTTCTGGACCTGGGTGAAGGATCATAAACAAAAATTCAGAAAGTCAATCAAGAAGAATAGCTGCTACTCTCCCCTTAACCACCGTAGAAACAGCAAATGGATTATTTTTTTATTTTTTCACGTTAGTGGACCTGTCCCGAATTGTCGTTGCACGGGCTGTCAGTTTCTTTGTTAGTTGTTGTTTGTCGAGTTTCCATGTTAGTGAGCCCTGGACTTGTTTTTGTCACGGTAGAAGCTGAGAGCTCCATTTTAGATTATTTCCATGTTAGTGAGCTCTGGACTTGTGGAGTTCACTCCCATTCTTTAATGGTCGGCCCACCTTGCCATTGGACAGGTCTAGATTCAATACAGTGACCAATATGGTTACCGGTTACCGATGGCTGTCAGGGGCTGGGCACACTACGCAGGAGCTCCCAAACCTACGGAGCAAATGCAAACATGTTCAAGAGGCTAACTTAGCACTCGGCGCACGATTTCATGTTGGTTTTGAGGTCTCCACAGATAGTGGCCTGTTTCACCAAGAAACCGGACAGGCCCGAGAGGCGGAAAATGAGCTAACATTGCAATGCTCAGGATGTGTTATTTCTTTTTTAATGTTCCTTTTCAAAGGAACCGCAACTTCAAAACGCTACCCTAGAAGCCAGTGTAATTAATCCCTTCCACCTATAAAAAAACACGAGGGCCCACCGCCCCCCAATAAGGAAACCTCGGTCGCATTTTTTTCTAATAGGGGGTCCCTGAAATCGGGGGGTCCAAAATAGGGTCACCTGGAAAGAGTTTCAAACCAAAAAAGTAATCCATGAAAATTATATATAAAATCCGTTATTAAACTCGTATCAAGAATGCAAAAAACCTCCAGGTCGAAGGGTCTTCCTTTTCCCCCACAAAAACCTTCATTAGAATAGTGATTCTTCAGTAGACTAACAGCTAAAGCTTTCGAAAGGTGATGTCGCTGTGCCATGCGGTGTTGCATGACCTCGGTGGCAAGTGCGTTTGCGTGAGTCCGTGCCATTGGGGGAAGGGAAGCCTGCTGATGCAAGCGCGGCGTGTCATGGTGGATAGACAGGGCGGACAGAGGTGGGCAGTTACGGTTGATGTTTAAATAGGTACTCGGGATTACCATGAAATTTTTATATATTCCCTGCAAGGAACTACAGCTTCAACACGCTAACCTAGAAACCAGTGAAATGACCAATTCCTCAAGCTGCCCCAGGTTGAGCTAACATGGCAATGGTCAGTATGAGTTTTTTGAATGTTGTTTGTAAAGAACCATAGCTTCAACACGCTAACCTAGAAACCAGTGTAATTACCAATTCCTCAAGCGACCCAGGTTGAGCTAACATGGCAATGCTTAGTATGAGCTTTTTAAATGTTGTTTGTAAAGAACCACAGCTTCAACACGCTAACCTAGAAACCA